TATATATATATATATATATATATATATATATATATATATATATATGTATATATATATATATATCTATATATATATATATATATATATTGATTTAAGGATGATTTAGGGGAATTTTAGGAGTGTTTCTGACTTTATGCATTTTTGGCTTTACTTTGCATATACTTTTCTGTGAGCTGGAACCAATTACCCAAAATCCCATTGAAACAATGGTTTCGGTTAACGAAATTTTCGGTTAACGAGCGACCTCTGGAACGAATTGTGTTCGTTAACCGAGGGACCACTGTACATTGTTCCTGCGCTGGAGACATTCCCGTTGTTCCTCCTCTCCCCAAACATTAAGTCCGTTAATTTTCATTTTTTCGACACACTTTTTCAGAGTCCCTAGCTGCTGTAGAACCTGTTCTGATCCTGCATTACTTTCCGCCCCCTCCCGTGGCCCTGCTAATACATCAGCATAACTCCTCTTAGCAACCACCTCCATTCTGTCGGCTACTTCCTCAGTCTTAGCAAGGATGTCTTTCCCAACTTGTTCTAGTTTAGCAACCAGCATGGCTCTAGCTTCATCTATTTTCGTCCCTAGGAAACTCGTTCCCCTATGGCTTGCAATTGCCTCATTCACCTTGACTACACAGTCAGGGCAATACCAGCAACAGCCTTCATGCTTTACGGCAGTTTGCAACATCCTAAACGCTGTAAGGGTCAGGCCTGTATCCTCCATATCCGACATACCCCTGCAGTAATCACATATCATACTCATGGTTGTTGTTGTTGTGGGGGGTGGGGGGGGAGCAGACTGTGTATAGATCTACCTATTTAAAAATAAAGAGGAAAAAAGAACAGTACTTAGCTGCCCTCTGCTCTGGCTTTAAACCTGCCCTGTTGCCTTTAGAGTTGTCTTCTGTTTTCCTTTTCAGTTCACTACGGCATTTGTCGGTATTTATGTGCTATCTCTATGTACACTGCATTTTGCTATGAATAACGGATTTTATGCACCCACTCAGTCCTTTAGAAACACAGAAAAATAAAATAAAACTTTCTTTGGGGCTGTAATAGAATGCCTTTAAGGATAGCCAAGCTTGTTGATTTTATTTATTTATTTTTTATTTCAACTAGTATTTCCTTATACAGCTCCTCCCCGACTTACGACGGGGTTAGGGACCCAAATCCAGGTCTTAAGTCGAAATGGTCGTAAGTCGGAAATGCTTAAATAATACATAGAAAATCTAAAATGGGTGTCTCTTTTTCTTCTCAGCCCCACAAAACACTCACTTTTAAGTTTGCCAGTCATTTTAAAGTGAATTACAAACGAAAAATTTTTTCTGTGCACTGACTTTGGGACTCAAAAATACGTAATTTGACAAAATTTGGGTATGACTGAGGCAGGTCGTAAGTGCGGGTGGTTGTAAGTCGGGGAGGAGCTGTACTTTCTTTTTCTGTACTCATCGACGACTATATCTCTTTGTGCTATCACTGTGTACACTGTATTTCCCTGTGAATGGTGTATTGTAGGCACAGTTTCAGTCCATGAGAAAGCACACAAACAAAATAAAATTTAAAGTCTCTGTGGCACCTGTAACACGACTTGATTTCAGCTGGCAGTGGTGCCTTTCCAACTTGCTTGCCAGTTTTTATTCACTTTAATTTATTTACAATCTCTTCTGTGGGCATTCTAAGTAAAAGCCATTTGCTCCTTAAAAGTACAATGGAAGTAACATTCATTAATGTTGATGGGTTAAGTTTTCAAACCCAATACATGGTGAGTGCTGGCAACATTGTTAGGGAGAGCAGAAACGATCAGCTATTACCTCTCTTTAAACAAGAGATCGGGAATATACAGCTGCTCAATAGCTCATCCAGGATTGAGTGTTAGATTTTTGGGGAAAATTAATTATTTTTTATAACGTTTTATTAACCCAGCACCAAATGAACCAAAATAATAAGGGAATTACTATATGGTGAAATTGCATGCTGTTGTTATAAAGATTCATTTCGCAGCAGTTTCATAGCGTTTATCGCCTCAGCAGTGCCTCGCCAAGCTGAGACTTTCACTTAACCGCAGTTTTTTTCCACATATCTGCGGTGAGGTGTCATTTCGAGCAGCTATTTTAGATTGCCCACCGCCACCTGCCTGACTGCTGTTTTAGCTCATAAAAATTCGCCACAAATTACCCGGCCAGAATATAATTTACATTGCTGGAATTCTTATAATTTGGTGATCATTTTGAATATAAACATCATATATTTTGCATTAAACATACAATTTTTAGATAAAAATTTTTCTCTAGGTAACTATGTTATCTTTTGTGCAAAATATGACATTTATATTCAAAATATTCCTGGTCTTACAAGGAATCCAGCAATGTCAATTATATTATCCTAACTTTAGTTTGAGGTATTATTTATTAAAATTTAGTGGTTATCCCACACATCTCCTTGGGACAGTTGGTGGGGGGTTGGGGGGAGGGAGGGACCGACAGACCATCTGTTACCCCGTGAAGAATTATTTTTTTTTTTATTAACTGAAGATATTTGTTTTAGCTCATAAAATTCATACAAATTACCCGGTCAGAATATAATTTACATTAGCACCAGATTCTTATAATTTAGTGATCATTTTTGAATATAAACATCTTATATTTTAGGTAAACATACGAATTTTAGATAAAAATTTTTCTCTAGATAACTATGTTATCTTTTGTGCAAATATATGACATTTATATTCAAAAATATTCCTAGTCTTACAAGGAATCCAGCAATGTCAATTATATTATCCTAACTTTAGTTTGAGGTATTATTTATTACTATACCTGGTTTTCCCCCCAAAATTTCTCAGAGAGGGAAGAGCCAGCGAGTGTAGTGTGAGAAGAGGGGGAGGGAGTTGAGTCCATTATTTGAATGGACATTAACTTGGCCACTGTATTTCTCTATTTCTCTTAAGTATTAATTGTGTGCATGTACCATCATAAAATTAAGATGTTATTTTTACTACAACATAGGTATGTGCCTTCAAAAAGTGGAGTTTGGGGGTCGGGCCGGTTTCTATTGGAATTAATCCCATATGTTCTGTTGTTCACTTAACGCGGATTTCACTTAACGCGGGACCCTCTGGGTTCAATTGACCGCGTTAAGTGGGGTACAACTGTAATTCATATTTTATTCCTATAATTCATTCATCTTTATCTATTTCATAATATATTTCTATTATACCCCCTGTAATACACATAATCTATTTCTGGAACTGCACAATTAATTCAGATTATTACTGATTCCATTTGTTTACCAGTAATTATTTAATAAACAAAACACGAATTCTGAATTATAACAATCCGCACTAACGAGGGTACAGTGGACATTTAACAGAGTAAAAAAAAAATTGAAGATAATTATGTACTGTATATATACTACCAACAACAACACCACTCACCACCACCAGTAACACTCACCACCACGAACACTCACCACTACTCACCATCAACAGTCTACCACTAACATTCACCACCACTCACCATCACCACCAACAACACTCACCACCACTCACCATCACCACCAACACTCATCATCACCACTAACATTCACTACCACCACCACCATTCACCATCATCTTCAACACTCACTAACACTACCAACACTCACCACCACTACTGCTCACTCCCCTTCCCCTTCCATGACCACACACCAACTACTGCAGATGTAAGAACCATTTTTATTATCTTTCTGTTCTTGGCCTTATGATAATTTTTTTTGTACATTCTGTATGAACAATTGTGTGTGCATGTAACAGAGTAAAAGAAATGACTAAAAATACGTATACAGTATCTACTCAATACAGTATTACGAGTTGAAAAATAACAATAACACAGCTGCGCCTGGTAGGAGGAGAGGTAAGGCGATGTAGTTACGGTGACTTCTAACCTGGTGACCTGCCAAGTCCATACACACACACGTTTGTGTTAGGTAAATGAAATTATTTTGTATAAATTTATTGTTTTTCTATTTATAAATTATTTGAGTTATTTAGACATTATTTCATCATTATAGCAGCAGGATATAAAACTTGTTCGGGCTCTTCAGTGGCTCAGGAACGGAACCTATTTTTCTCCAAAATTTATTAATATCAATGTACGATCAATCACTTAGCGATGTTTTTATTTTTTGAGGTCTCTACAGATAGTCCCCGACTTACGACCGACTCGACTTACGTCCACCCGCACTTACGACCGCCTCAGCCGTACCAAAATGTGGTCAAATTATGTATTTTTGAGTCCCAAAGTCAGTACACAGACAAAATTTTCATCTGTAATTCACTTTAAAATGGCTGTCAAGCTTAAAAGTGAGTGTTTTGTGGTGCTGAAAAGAAAAAGAGACCCAAATTTTCGATTTTCTATGTGTTATTTAAGCATTTCCTACTTACGACCATTTCGACTTACGACCTGGATGTCGGTCCCTAACCCCGTCGTAAGTCGGGGAGTACCTGTAATTCCATCGTATAATGGTCATTGCCTGTATTTATTAATATGATTTTATTTATTCATTACATATATTCATTACAGTATATATTATTTTATGTACAAACAATAGTGTGTCTCACATGTAAACCATCCTCTGGGCAATGTGACAGTTCAACTACACAGCTCTGCAATCTCTGGGGATGGGCAGAGTCTCCAACACATCCATTGTGGGTCGCACATCTTACGCCATTCCGAAATTGCTTCATCATATCTCAGAATATTAGAGTTATTGTACATCACTTTTTCACAGCAGTAACAATGCTGGAAAATCATTCAGGTAGCCATCGGGTAATGACCATCATAAATCTGATCTTAGCCATCGCATAGCGGTATTTAGTGTTAATTACTTAACATCATAAAACTGATTGATCGTATATCAATCAGTCATATACCGGGTAACTGTCAACACCTCTATAACAGAAAATTTGATTTGACTGCATTTATAAAAAATATTTCTTACTATCCCTATATTTCACTAATAATTTCTTTCAGGCATAATGAAGCTTGATGACCTAAAGCATGTGTTCAAGTCATCAACATGCGCTCCAGTGGATGCCAAATCATACATCGTGAATTTACTTAACAAATTTGAGGTGGCTCTCACCTGGGACAACCGAACCTTGCTCATCCCTTCCCTCCTTCCATCTGAAGTGCAGCTGCGTGAGGGACTACCAGGGATGGATGTTAGGGTAAAGGTGCTCATTCTTCCAGGGGAAACATGTTCATTATTTCTTTGTTTTTCTTTAATTGGTTTGTCTTCATTAAATATTGTATTGATGTGGCTTTTTTATTTTAGAATAGATTGCTCATTACAATATTTACCTAACACAACTTATAGTTTAACAAATTGTGATCCCCATCCACAAGGGATTAAAGAATTTAAAAATTAGTTATTATTCCTTATCAAAAACAGGGTAAATTTATGGTGCCATCAATGTCAGTATTTTGATTATTTTTTTTAACAAACTCATAAAACAAAAACTACCTTCCAATTTTTTTTTTTTTATGCGTATACTTTTACAGTATAATGTTTGGAATTTTGAGAATATTCACAAACCTCCAGAGTACACTAAAAATCTGATGGATTGTGAGTTATGCATTACATCAATTTCATGGGGACATTTATTTGTTCTATTTGGGCATAGCTGGATGGATCACAGAAAATGTTTTAGTACACATGTACAGTAAATATATTTTCAGTTTGGTAGTAAGGTTTTTTTAAACATCACATTTATTTATAAAGTAAATGCAGTAAACAACAAAAACAGGAAAAAAAAAACTTATTTCACTCAACAAAGCTGTTATATTGCTATGCTTTTTGTCGTCTGCTAGTTGTGTTGCTGTATACTTTACTTTTCTTTATCCTCTTCACCACTGAATAGCCTATAGCTGCTGAGGCAGTTGGTCACATCTCTGTTGCACTCCCCTGGGCAAAATGAATTTGAACCTGAACCTGCTCCAGTGTTTGTCAAATCTGGTCTTCAATGAATTAAAAAATGTTGCCATCACAACTTTTTCTGGGTGATTATTCCAAGAGTTCACAGACTTCACTCCAAAAAAGTTTGCCCGTTCAATTACCCCAAAAACCATTGAAACAATGGTTTCGGTTAATGAATTTTCGGTTAACGAGCAACCTTCTGGAACGAATTGTGCTTATTAGCCGAGGGACCACTGTACTGTACTGTAAAAATTTAAAAATACTCTGTGTTCAAGAGACCCACAAGCAAGATGTTTCCTCCACTGAACAGAGACACAAACTGACGCCTTGGTGGGTGAGTGAAGTGGCTGATGGGCGCATTCAAAACTAGTTCCCTGTACTGCAATTATGTTAAATAAGTGTTATAATGACTAATAATTTTAATATAAAACTTGGAAAATTATTGAATAACACAACCTTCTTGATATTTACTCCAATGGAAATGAATATAAGCCCTAGAACCGGACACTGTATTGGCGGTCTAATCTTCCAGCTGGTGAGCAAGCCAAAACATGTTGACATAGCCAAGAATTTCGTTAACCGAATTTTTGTTCGTTAACCGAATTGAAGATTCTTATGGAAGGTAATTCGTTAACCGAAATTTCGTTAACCGAGGCGTTCGTTAACCTAGGGACCACTGTACAGTGGTTTAATCAGATTTGATAGAGGCCTAACGAGAGCTAATAGATAAGAGATGACACTTAATGTATAAACAAGCTGAAGGTGGGGGAGGAGGACTGGCTGTTGTCATGATCGCAAGTATTTTATTTATAACATACTACAGTATTAAATAACATAAAAAATGCAATATATAATTTGACTTCAAATATAATGAGAGTGAATCAAGGTAATTTCTTCCCTGTCTGTAGGGCTGTGGTGGACTGTTTGTATCCGCGTTCATGTTTGTTTTTATTTATTCATTATATTCTTGTATGAGTCAGTCTCTTATGGTGTATGTTTCATCATTAATGATATAAAATATTAAATAATAGAAAAATATGCCAGGTGGGTGTGTGTGTGACATGTCAATGTATGTATTAAGTCATTTCTGGCAACTGTATATTTTCAACTTTTTGTTGCTGAACTTTTCAATAAACCATTAATTATTATTATTATTTACCTCACACCACCTGCTCCCCTGTACCCCACTTCAGTGACCATCACTACCTCAGACCACCCCCACCCACCACCACCCTACCGCTTCCCCACACTTCACTACAGAGAACATCACTACCTCACATCATCCCCACCCACCACCACCCTCCTGCTCCAGTGCACCCCCTCCAGTGACCATCACTACCTCATACTACCTGTACCTAGCACCCCTCCTCTTCCTCGCCCTCCTTCCCCACACACCCTCCCAAGATCACTCACTAACTACCGTGGACATATATGTTTACAGTATACAGTACTGCTCTCTATTTGACCTTATGATAATTTATTTATTTTATTTTTTTGCTCATACTGTATGAACAATTGTGTTTGTATGCAACAGAATAAAAGAAATTGAATAAAAATATGTATATTCACTTGAAATTGCAACACAAAATGTCAAACAATTTTATTCAACTCAGAGGGGACCCCATACACAAGTTGTTAAATACATTTAATACTGTATGTTTCATTAGATAAGGTTTTTCAAAGATTTAATCGATAAATATCAAATGAAGAAAGCTGATCACCTGATAAAAATATAGTTTCCCGTGACCTCAATAGATGGCAGTACAAGCACAGGCCAATAGGCCCAAAACTACCATTCGCATGTAAACATGAAGTCACCTTGAGTCTGAATAACTCCATTCCAGGAAGCAGTTGTTCAGACTCAGTGTGAGGTATAAATTGTTAAAAAAAAAATAATTGAATTAGTCTCAAGAATTTTTTCTTTCTTTATCTTCTTCCTCATAGGTCAGCTCTCTACTGTACCTATGGTAACTTATTGCAGTGTTTCCTCTTCACATTTAGTGAAAGAACATTAAATGTCTTTTATGTTTCATTTCTTAGAGAAGCATTAAAATTTGTTTATATGTTTCATTAAATATGTTTTTAAATTTAATAATAAAATATTACATGATGAAAGCCAAGACTACTAAACAACATCTACATCAACACTTAAGAGTTCTATTGTTCCACGAGAAACCTTGAGTTTAAGTAGCTGCAGTCTAGGAAGCAATTGTTCACACACAATGTGAGGTATAATTTAGTAAAGAATGTTTTGAAATAATTGAATTAGTGTTGAAGTGAGGAAAATAGTGTCTTAAGGAGGAATTTTTTAATGTATGTTTTGCGGCTGTGGTCCCATACCCTCCTTTTACATGCTCTCTCTCTCCTTTGAACATGTATTTCGTCTTTTACATGGTTTTCAATGGTTTATTATTTATTCATTTATCATAAATTTGCACAGTGGGAGGCTTTTAAGGAATGTGTCAAGCAGGACTATATTGTAGCTGGTGTATTTTTGTGCCTCCCAGACCCTAATTGCCTTTTAACACTGAAATTTATATCATATTATAGTAAGATTTGATACTGTACCTATTTTATTGGCCTCTATCTCATACTAAAACACAGCCCTACAGCAATCATGATTTTAGTCACTTGTATCCTGAAGGGCACAGCAACTTTGTAATCCACCAGTCCAGTTCTATAGTTATCTCTCAACAATTGCATGATCAGGTTTTAAAATTGTACATGCTTACAAATACCATTTTTCAATACAGTATGTAAAAAATGTAAGGATTCAGTATAAGTAGAAATCTGAGTCTCTTACCAAAAATATGAAACACTAATCCGTAGCCATTGCACTGTTGCTAATATTATTAAATATAAACATTTAGTAAAAAAATATATTCAGTACATAAATGCATACATATACTCTATGCCATCATTTTTGCTGATCCATTCCAGTAGGAGTTGAAGTTTCATATGTAGTAATACAATGTATTTATTTTGTGACACTTTTAAAGCATTTTGCATATGGGTCTTTTTATGTATCATTTTATTGATTGGTCTCATTTCCCCTGGATTTTTTTGTAGTTACTTTTTCCACAAATTTTAATGAAGTACAGTACTGTACTGTACTGTACCTTGAACTAGAATACAGTATTACAGTTTTACTTTGTCATGAATATTTGCAAACAATTCTCCTAATCAGTTTCTAATGTGAATAATGGCAGCATAATGTAAAAATAGAAATGAGTGAGTAGGTATATATACTGTAGATATGATAAGTATAACTCGCACATAATGTTTAAAGCCCGTATTTGGACATGTTCTTTCCTGGGTTAGGCTATAGCCCTAAACTGTACCTTGATTATCCTTATTTATATTTACCTATTTAATAAAAAGATTATTATTATTTTCACATAGCTTCTGAAATTAATTTTGGTCAAATTAAACCATGTGACAACAAGGAGCATCTGGTGTAAGTTACCTCGAATCTTTGGTTTATTTTAACCAGTATTGATATCAAAAGGGTAGGTGGGTAGTCTTTGATTGCCTTAGGAAGTTGCAACCGAGCCTTTCCTGTTGCTTCCACCTTGTGGGTTGGCATTAGAAGGAATCCAGTCTTAAAACGTAACTTCAGCATGCCTGATGGCAACCAGGTCATCAGAAAATGCAGCAGAAACAAGGTCTCTGCTGCATTTTTTGAGCAGTACCTGGGTTTTCAGTGGTAAGTTAGGGGAGGATTCCATTCTGTTTTTTTCCAACAACTGCCATCAGGTAATCATGGCTAACACATGAAAGTGTACAAAATGGTTTTAAAACATCGATGATGATAATGTGAAAATAATAATTTTTTTTTTGTAAGTACCTGTACTGTATATAAATACAGGTATCCCTCACTATCCAAATGATATTCATATGAATATTCAGTTATTTGATTGCTGTATCCTTCCACCTCATTGTGTTATCCAAAGGTAACATTTGTTATCAAAATGTTTGTCAGAACAAACATTCAAATTGCAAACCAACAACAACCCGAGATTCAGCTGGGTGGCCATTTTGCTCCACCATATGTGTTGAAATGTGCCTTTTCTCAAGGCTCATGATGTCATCCCCCTCCTGCATTCTCCCACTCTCCATTCTTTCCGTATTCACTGCAAGTGAAGTGCTCTCTCTTTATCCATCTGTATTCATGGATTCCTGTTGTGAATCTGTATGTAATGGCATCCTAGTACTGTATAGTGGTGATTCGCTCACAACCCCCACCATCGCCTGTGACCCCGCTTAAGATAATTAAGCATCAAGAACGGGGATAAAACCCATCTAAGACTGGGAGATCAAGGCATGCCTCCTTCTATGGTCGCCATTATACTCAAGCATGCTCAGGAGATCAAGGACGCACAGATAGAAGCAAGCAGGCTTACGTTATCCTATGATGCTGTGATGGACAACATAGAGCATCTCCTCCAGCTATTGATAGAAAACCCACATATTTTATTTTATTTTATTACATGATGTTTTGTAATTGTGTAAAGCACAAGAATAAACCAAAACATAGTTAACTTGGCTGCAAAAAAAAAAAAATATTTTGTTGGTCGGCTACTAAACCCTATTTCTTCATTTATTATATTATTCATTATCCAAATACTTTTTAACTGAAGGGTTTTCAAGGGACCTAACCCATTTGGGAAGTGAAGGATATTTGTAAAGATAATCAAGGTATAGGGCTATTTTGTTCAATCAGACAATAATTATTTATTACTGTAACTCATAACTTCTGGTAAACACTCGGTAGAAGCTGCTGGGATGTAAACAAACTCATTTAACTCGCTTTAAGGAACTCTCATCTTCTGAACAGACTTTTTTATATTGCATGCATAGTTACTTTATTTATTGTTTAAGAATTAAATAAAAATTTAAATGAGTTTGTAAGAGTGATATAGTGTGTCTGGAAGCAAAACTTAGTCTCCTGGTAGGCCGAGGGTAATGTGGGTGATCCAGGACCCAGAAAACAGTAAATTCCTCAAAAATATTTGGTCTTGGTCCCAAAGGTCCTGAATTTGAAGGTCTCTGCCTGTATTTCTAAAGTTGTTAGATTGAAAGCCACAGTTTCCAAAACGAAATTAATAGTAAGAGGTAGTCAATAGTATATAATGTGGATTTGCACTGGAAGGAACACACAAAAAATTGGGAGTGTGCCTGATGCAGTTTATTTGTACATTTTGAATTGAAATGATAAAAAAATAAAAAATAAAAAAATAAATGGACAATTCAATAATTAAAGGTGGCTAAATTAAGGTTGAGAGATCATGTGGGAAATTCTAGCAAGGCATGCATAAGTATGGCTGTACATTAAACACTTCCTTTAAAGAAAGTTTTTCTAACACACTGTAAACTATTTATTAAATAGAGTTGTCAGATATAACCATCTTGGTAGCCATTTTTTATACCATTGTCTTACAAAAATTTTGGACCTTCAGATTCCAGTACGCTCAAGAGGTTGGTCTGTACGGAGCAAGAAGTTCTCCAGCAATTCAGGGTCTACTATTGTTGGCAACTCTGCCTTCTACATGGCCAATACTGAGGAGCGTAAACCAAGACCATTATCTTCTCATGGACTTACAAACAAGCTATAGGTACTGTTATGGATTATTATTATTATATACTATATATATATATATATATATATATATATATATATATATATATATATATATATATATATATATATATATATATATATATATATATATATATATATATATATATATTATTATATACTATATATATGTATGTATATATATATATATATATATATATATATATATATATATATATATATATATATATATATATATATATATATATATATATATATATATATATATATATATATATATATATATATATATATATATATATATATATATATATATATATATATATATATATATATATATATATATATATATATATATACACACACACACAGTGGTCCCTCGGTTAACGAGCACAATCCGTTCTACAAGGTTGCTGGTTAACGAAAAACCTGTTAACGAAACCATTGTTTCAATGGGTTTTTAGTGTGGTTCCAGCTCACCGAAGTTGCCTATATTCAACAAAAAGGTGTTAAAAGTACACTACTTTGAGGTGTGTATATAGAAGGCTCCTGGATGATGATGATGATGATGATGGGAATTAGAATGGGGGGTGGAGAAGGGAGAAGAAGGCATTGGGGTGGAAGGAAGTCATTCATGGTGCCATTCACCCATAAAATTTTAGTTCTTTTGGTGTAATTCAAGATTATTTTCTTTAAATCAACACTGCACTGCATTATCTATTATCAATATGTAAAATAAATTTCAAAATGACCACTAATTTGCTTGCAACACAGAAAAAAAAGCGTTTATTTGAAGAGAGTCTCAAGCAAGATGTTACTTCCACTGAAAAGACAGAGACTGGCGCCTGTTTGGTGTGTTGACAGGCTGGATGGCGTGTATAAAACTAGTTTCCTTACCTTCAATTATGTTCAATAATTGTTAAAATGACAAAAAAATTTAATATTAAACTTTTAAGCAATTGAATAGTATAAACTTCTTGATATTTACTAAAATGGTAAGGAATATATGCCCTAGAACGAATTACTGTATTGGTGGACTAATACTACATCTGGTGGACACGCCAAATGCAAGCTTATGTTGAGGTCGGTTCGTAAGAAACTCGTTAATCAAGGGATTGCTCGTTAACCGAAGTTAAGAATCTTATGGAAGGTAACTCGTTAACCGAAATCTCGTTAACGGCGCCGTTAACCGAGGGACCACTGTAATAGAGGACCACAAAATAAAAATCCAGGAACTTGGGGGTGGGGGGTGGCTGTACAGTGATCCCTCGGTTAACGAAAACTGAATGCAATTACCTTCCATAAGAATCTTCAACTCGATTAACGAACAAAAATTCGGTTAACGAAATCCTTCTATCGTGTCAACATGTTTTCGCTCCTGCTCACCAGATGGAGTATTAGTCCGCCAATAATCCGTTTTTGGGGCTTAAATTCGTTACCATTTGAGTAAATATCAAGGTACTATTCAATAATTTCAGTCTTATATTAAAATTTTTAGTCATTTTAACAATTATTTTAACATAATAAAAACAGAGAACAAGTTTTAGCATGCCAAACAGCCACTTGACTCACCAGAATGGTGTCAGTGGAGCAGCATCTTGTTTGAGACTCTCTTGAACATAAACTATTTTTCGTTTTACAGTACCTGTACAATTATTGGTCATTCTGAAATTTATTTTACATATTGACAATATATAGTGCAGTGCAGTGTTGATTTAAAGAAAATACCTAAAATTTATGGGTGAAATGGCAGCATGAAGCATGGGGTGATTTCTCTTCCAACAAAACTTTTCATTTATTTTTAGTTTGTATGTAATTTTCGGTGAGCTGGAACCAATTACCCAAAATCCCATTGAAACAATGGTTTCGGTTAATGAATGACCTTCTGGAACAAACTGTGTTCGTTAACCGAGGGACCACAGTATATGAAAAACTAATTTTTTTTTTGTATTTAATTATTTATTTTTTATTTTTACAAAAAAATCAGGGGTTGACCTATATATAAGATCGGTTTATGCACGAGTATATACGGTAAATGAAATGATCAAAGTCAAAGACGTATAGAAACAGTATTAGAGGAATATCCATGGAGAGGATTTCACATATTTTCATCATCCACTAGGGAGCCCCAAGAAAGAAACTGCTGAACCCAGTATAACTCCATCATCAGAAGCTCCAGCTGTCCAAGTGACCCACCGCTCAGCTCCACATGCTGCAATCAGAAGACTTTTACTCATGTCTTACTTCCCATCTGGATTTTGGTCTCGGCTCATCACCAGGATACTAGCGGATGATGCTGTTGTTGATATAATTAGGAGTTACTTTGTCATGCCAAGAGAGGTAAGACTGCTAATATGTATGATTTCTATCATATTCTCTTTGTTTACTTAACTTTTATAACTTCCCTTTGCAGCTAAAATATTATAATTATATTTATTTAACACCTGTAATTAATTACCATACTCATTTAATCACTGAGAAATCACCCAAAATAGGAGGGACTTTCATCAGACATGACTTACTGTTTGATTAAAATAACACAAAATTATATTAAAAGTACAATACAGTATGCCATATCATTGATTCACGAAGCATTGAAGACCAATTTACACATTCTTAATACAGTACAGTAGAATCCCAGTTATCCAGTATCCGGTCAACCGGTAGAATCAACTAACCAGCACTAAAATTAAATAATAATAATAATAATACCGGTAATAATAATAATAATAATAATAATAATAATAATAATAATAATAATAATAATAATAATAATAATAATAATAATAATAATTCCTCCAAAATCAGCTAGTATCTTAAATTTGAATTTCACTCACTATGGGAATGAGCTGCCATATTTATTGCTGTGATAAACAATAAAATCAATGCATAACATATCATTAAATACAATATCACATATTTTATGTAAAAAAATTAGCTCCTTCCACACTCAAACCATCCTCTGTGTGAAGTGACCCATTTCAGCCAAGTAGTCAAACAGCTGACTCACAGCTGTAAAGTTGTGTGTGTGTACCATGACGTCACATTGGGAGGGAGCGCTGCTACACAGTTATAGCTCATCACCTCCACACACATACACACCCATGCTCTTCATTTTTCTTAATTTTATAGTTTTATATTATAGTTTCTTTATTTCTAAGTCACAGTTGAATATTGTAATTATTTTTCAAAACTTTTATAGTTTCATTACAAATAACAATTTACGAGGCTGGCGAGTAGGCTACGTAGTTATTAGCCAAGGCCTTGGCTACAACTGCCTCCACACACGTTCACTTCTCACACATACACACCCATGCTGTTCATTTTTCTTCTTTTTATTTTATATTTTCTTTATTTCTATGCCATATTAGAGTATTATTGTAATGAATTTTCAACAACTTTTACAGTTTTAATTACAAGTAACAATGAACAGGTACCCGGTGGCTGGAATGGTGAGTTGGCAATATAGTCATACCCTACCGCCTACACACACAAATTCAGTTCCCACAAATACACACCTATGTTCTTCATTTTTTTTATTTTATAGTTTTATATTAATTTTTTTTTACTTTTAAGCCACATTAGAGTACATATTGTAATGAATTTTCCACAACTTTTATATGTAGTATCATTACATGTAACAATAAGCCCAATAGCTGAGCTGACAATTCAGTGTAGTTCACTTCCCACACATACAAACCCATGCTCTTCATATTTCTTGTTTTATGATTTATATTACAGTAGTATATGGATTTTCTTTATTTCTAAGTCACACGGTTTATATAGAGCGGAATAAGTGTTAAAGAAGTCTGTTTTTCTGAGATGAATTTGTAAGGTCAGCCTGTAGCACTGTGCATTGTAGGATTTATTGGGGGATCTTAAGAATGATTTTCAACAAACCGGAAAAACTGTTTATCCAGCACCTCTTAATCTCCGAAGGTACTGGATAACTGGGATTCTACTGTACATATAATTTGATGTGCTACTGTAGTATATTATATACCATATAACTTGGCACAACAGCAAACATTGTGGGCTTCCTGCTCTGGCCTTATACAGTGATCCCTCGGTTAACAAGCGCCTCGGTTCACGAAATTTCGGTTAACGAATTTCCTTCCATAAGATTCTTAACTTCGGTTAACGAGCATTCCCTCGATTAATGAATTCCTTACGAGCGCCCCTCCACAAGTTTTCGCTTGCACAGTAGCTGTCATATGAGTCCGCCAATACAGTAATCGGTTCTAGGGCTTAAATTCTTTACTATTTTAGTAAATATCAAGAAGTTTGTACTATTCAATAATTTTAAAAGTCTTATATTAAAATTTTTAGTCATTTTAACAATTATTTAACATAATTTAAGTACAGGGAAACTAGTTTTTAGTGCGCCAAACAGCCTGTCAACACACCATACAGGCGTCAGTCTCTGTCTTTTCAGTGGAGGTAACACCTTGCTTCAGACTCTCTTCAACATAAACGCTTTTTTTCTGTGTTTCCAGTCAAACTATTGGTCATTTTGAAATATATTTTACATATTGACAATATATAATGCAGTGCAGTGTTGATCTAAAGAAAATAATCTTTAATTTCACCAAGTGAACTAAAATTTTATGGGTGAAATGGCACCATGGGGCGACTTCTCTTCCACCCCAATGCCTTCTCTTCTCCCTTCTCCTTTACTACCTTTTTTGGTTGACTTTAGGCAATTTTTGGTGAGCTGGAACCAATTACCCAAAAACCCATTGAAACAATGGCTTCAGTTAACGAATTTTTTGGTTAACGAGCAACCTTCCAGAACGAATTGTGCTCGTTAACCGAGGGACCACTGTATATGTATTAATAACACAGAATTGGTTAAATTCCAGTTCACTTCTATTCCCATGCTTTTTTTTTTAATTGTGGTCCCAAACATTGACAAATGTGTGTGTGTGTGTGTAACCTGGATCAGTAATGGGCACACTGTTGTCACTAACACCTGAAGGTGTAAAAGTGAGCCTGGTGGACCTCGTGTTTCACAATGAACCCGCTTACACTACCTCATCTTGGTGTGGCAGACACAAAGTTTAAATTTACACAACCATGGAATGTGACAAATAGATCCAAAGATAGACAAATGTGTGTATACCCCAGGTCAGTAATCTACCCCAAGTGTTTAAAGCCATTGTCTGCCGCACTGAGATGAGGTGATGTGGGCGGGTTCCTTGTGAAACACCATGTGGCCCGCTCACTTTTACACCTCTGTATGTTAGTGCAGGCCGTTGCTCACCCCACCTAGGGCACATTATGTTTTTATTGTGTTTCATAAATATTCATTAACTTGATAAGAGGTAAGGGGAATTCTGTGCAAAAAAGAAAAAAAGAAGAGATCAGCAATATAATGTACTCAGAATGGTACCATTACTTTTACTGGCTAAAGAGATGCTTTGGCGGGTAACACTTACACAGGCAAAGCCCAATAAAGCACGCGGACTTCTACATACAATCAACACCTCAACCCGCCAGGATTATTGGGCTAATGAAATATATATGGATCCTCGTGTTTCGAAGCCGGATTTGGTAAAACGTTACTCTGACCACCTAAGTGATACGGGTGGTCCCCATTAGAGGTTCACGGCGCCATAAGCTCGTTGAACAGGCTTTGTGTGAAATATAACAAAGTCTAGGACTGCTTTTAGTATCCTGGTGGTCCAGCGGTTAGCGTTCCCCGGTCACAGTCATAGGCTTGTGGGCCGTGGGTTCGAATCCTGGCGGGTTGAGGTGTTGATTATATATATATATATATATATATATATATATATATATATATATATATATATATATATATATATATATATATATATATATATATATATAATATTATATTTTTTTAACTTTTCAACTTACTAGCCGTTTGGGCGGTCTATCCACTGTTAGTACAGGAGGAAACTGGGGACCGGGAAACCTGTGATGTTTGGTAGGGTCACACTGGATAACACCCTTCTCACGTGTGTCCAGGCTCGAACCCTTGACATATTGGTGAGAGTTATGCGTGTTCCTTTTTCTCCAATAGGTTTTAAATGACCGTGGGTTGTCATCAGTCCTGGGTGGCCAGGCAGAGTGGGTGTGCTGGCAGACTGGCATGGAACTTCATTATGCCCATACCACGCTCTTTCGCATGCGAGAAGTACTGCCCATACACTGTCATGGTCCATCTCCAGCTTCTTATGGACCTCATACCCCAACTCACGGCCCCAACCATCCTTCAACGCAACCCAATCATCTTGTGTATGACTATAAGAGCATGCGCTTTCTTGTTAGACAAGAAGGCGTATGGTCAGATGTTGAGGTGAGAATCTGTTTACAGTATCTTATTACTACTGTATATGTGTTTTTGTAATCTTTGGTGAGCTGTTTCTAAGAAACTATTGTTACCAAATTTTCTGTAATTCGATATTTCTGTTGTGTTTTTTATGTAAATACCGGAAATAATTTTACATTTTTTTTTAATATACCCGGTATGTTCTTTTTCTAAAACTTTGTTGCCGTACTTTATAAAAATTTACTTTAAAGTAGAAAAAGTAAATAAAGATATTAGCATGCCATATTAACTGTGTAGTTCCATATACTATACCAGTAATATTCATTTATTATTCTTAACCCTTAAGCCTTGGGTTAGTGTGCTGCTGGCAGTACTCCCCCCCCCCCTCCCCCCATGGGAATAAATCGAGAAAAAAAATAAACTTTTCCAAAAAATAAAAATAAATAAATACAAATAATAATAATAAAAACAAATGGCGGGAAAACAGGCGCTGTTCTGGAACATCACCCAGGACGCGCGCACTAGTCGGACGTTCTGGAACGTCACCCGGGGCCTAAGGGTTAGGTGGTCATGTTAAGGAATAAAAAAGGCACTTTTCTTTTTTTGCAGTGTAATTTAGAAAAATTTTAAATTTTCAAATGATTGCAGGTCAATAACTCAGCTGTGTTAGAGATATGCCTTCCAAATGAAGCTGTAGTAATCAAACGACCTCTTCAAGATAATGACATTACCAACTCAGCAGCAGATATTCTGGCTTGTGGCATACAGTCTGTTGTTCTGGATCCGGCACCAGAATGTGTTGCAAAGCTCCTCTCCCTTACTGTAGACCATATTGATACCTTGCTAGAAGACTGGTAAGTCTGTTCATTGTTAATTAGAGATTCCTCTTTATCATTAAGGTGCCAAGCATTCTTCACTAATTTACTCATAGCAAATTCTTGGCTTTGTACAGTTCTTTTCATGTTTCCATTAAGGATTTTACTACTAACTCTGAATGTTCTGTTAGATGCATTAGTCTCCATGAAAGAAGATTTGAGTGGTAGTTGAAAAGAAACAGCATAAGATCAGTAACTTTTGACTTACATGAGAATTTTTAACAGAGGTAATGAAGATATTGCCAGTTGTTTTCACATTCCACTACTGTATATTTAAGTGTCGATTTAAGTCACTGTTATAGGGGAACATCTAAATCTGCAACTATAAAGACGTTTAAAAGATGTGTATAGCCTTTCTTGTCATATTAATCGTATACTGTACACACTGTTACATTTTTTTAAGAATTTCCATTATTCAGTGGTTAACCCTTTGTGTACGGGGTAACTTCTGACTGAATAAAATCACCTGGTGTTGGCCAAATAGAAAATTAAGATTAGCATCCCTGTAGTAAAGGGCTTAAGTCTGGTCATGACACCTTTAATCTATGATCAGTGTTTTGCAATGTATTTACAAAAATTCAGATCCACTCATGGATTACACTTACTTGTATAGAAAAGAAAAATGTTATATTTTTAATCTCGCAACCTATAAACCTTAATTTTTTTTTCACTCAATAGATATGTATTTTATGTGTCACATTCCATTCATTTATTTATTCTCTTGTAGTGGAAGACAATTGTCAACTTCAATTTACAGTATACAAAACTAGTTTACCTTATCTCCTCCCGATATAAAGTCTCTGGTAAGTCATTAATAAGTCTAGCTACAAAACTTAATGTTAAAGTTTTTGAAAATATATTTCTATTCTATACGACCTTTATATCTTTCCTCTCCAAATTTTCAACCATGCTGTATGGAATTAATCGTGTTTTTTGCATTATTTTTTCAAAAAAGTGTAATGACTTTCCGTAATAATGTTATTTTTTTTTTTAATGATAGGTATCCCACTCTTGGCACACGTTTTGTACATACAAGTGAAGGAAAGTTCCTAGTGACCCGTCTGGTTCCGTGTCCCGTGTGTCTGGAGTGTCACGGTCAACATGAGGGTCCTGGCAACCATCCCCAAGCTCGACACTTGCCTGATAATTGGGGATCTTTTGTAGAGATGAACCCTCTTTACTGCTCCATGACAGCATCGCAGATTTCTCAAGTGAGACCTTACATTGCTGTTTCTTACGACCCACAACTACTAATTAGTTGCTAAATCACTTGATAATAAAAGCCATAGTGTATTTTATTACTTTCATTATTCTAATTCTATTATCAGTACAAGAGTATGTAGAGGAACAAGTTGCAGGGTGTCATCGTGTGCTGCACCTAAGTCTATAAATTGTGCTGAGTTAATCTTTTTCCTAATATTTTAGTTTAAACTAGAAGATTTTCATTTCCTTTTTAAATTTTTACTCAATTAGTGTCTTTTTGTGGCTAGGAAGGTCAAAACTGATTGGGTATACTTCAGAATTCCCTTTATGTTGAAAGAGGCTTGATGCACTGGCCCTCCTGTTTGGATTAATTATTTCCCAGGATTGATAGAAATAGTACTAATTTTTTTTACAATGTTGCAAATACCTATAACATTATAGAAAGTACATTTTAACTCTAGCCTTGAATTTACCTTTTCATAATGCAATAATGTATTTAACTACTGAAATTACTAAATCCCAGCATTGTAGTAGGGGTCCTCATTATACACTGTCCCAAATATGTAATTTCACATATACATCACTAACAAATATTAGTACTGTACAAGTTTTCCTAATACGTCATGTGTTTCACATATACTGTACGTCGTCTGCATCATCCACTGTTTTATGCTAAGTCTGTATGTATCCTAATATGACTCATAAATACAGCAATATTAAAAATATCTAATGTAATGTAAAAATAACTCCAGGGGACCCCCAAGTTCAAGGATTTTTTTTTTCGCAGTCCTCTATTATTCGCGGATGACACCCTGGATGTACCCGAGAATGTCTGTGGATAGTTTTAAAGTTGCCGGCATTTTCACGGCTGGGACAGGGAGCCATTCGTTCATGGGACAGTAATTTCCTTTATCTGTACACACACCTCGTTTTATGCTGGGGTTACGTTCTTGAAAATCACCGCATAATTAAAAAACGCATAAATTTTACATAATTTTTCCCATAAGAATGCATGTAAATGGTACAGGTTACCGTATATCACGGCCTATAAGGCGGCGGGGTGCATAAGACGCCCCCCCCAAATTTCCATTTAAAAAGTAGCTTTTGAGCTCTATTTGCTGTATAAGACCAGTACCCCAAATGTGACACTTACCCACTGACTCAGTAGTCCTTTACCAACCATCCTTGATTTTTTAAAATAAGGCCAATTCACTTCAAGTAATGTCATCAAATTATACCCGCTGGTGTAGTGTAAACACTAGTGACGTCACTGAAGCGTGGTGGGAGTGTTCCCTCGTCTCGGTGGTGTGACTATTTATACAACATGTGGTTCAACAGCAACCACCGTATTCTAATTGTGGTGTTTCATTAGGATTTGAGTGAAAAAGGTTACCAGTATGTACTTACTACATACATTTATTACACATATATATATATATATATATATATATATATATATATATATATATATATATATATATATATATATATATATATATATATATATATATATATATATATATATATACTGAATATACTATGTACAAAAAATGAATGTTCAATGAATTATTTATGGTGCATTAGGGTACTGGTCACTTCTGATGGGCTATAAATAGCTTTGTTATCTCCCCTCCATCTCACCCTGAGCCAGACGGAAGGGTCTTGGTAAATAACATGTTTGCTTATTTTCCATTTACTTTAAATAGATTTACCGAATTATTTGTTTTATTTATTTATTTATAATATACTGTAATATATTAAACACACTGTAATTATTTTCTTTAATTTATAAACTGTTTTGCGACAAAGGAATGTTCTCCAGTAGTGTTTCATTAGGATTTGAGTGAAAAAATATTACGTACTTACACAATTGTTCCTCTTACTTTGACAACACAACATACATACAGTATATTATTTCTCAGTTTTGATCTTTTTTTTTAATTTTTGTATTTATTTATAGTTAGTTACTTAAAATAAGGCCAATTCACTTCAAGTAATGGCATCAAATATTACCAGCTGGTGTAGTGTAAACACTAGTGACGTCACTTGAGCGTCTGTAATTAACCGTCGATAGTTTCAAGAATTAATGCACTCATTTACTGAATATTCTTTGTAAAAAAATAAAATTTAAATCAATTATTTATAGGAGATAAATATTATTATGAGTAAATATACCGATACCGGTATGCATTACTGACCACCTCCACGGCTAAAAATAGCCCAATCTCGTGGTCACTTTCCCTTTCTTGTCTCCTCACTGGCAAATGGGGGGGGCGTGGGGAGGGGTGTGTGATGATAGCTGTGTTTATTACAGGGGTATAAATCTCTTTTACGGTATGTTAGACAGGTTTATAATACATTTTTATTATTTTAATATACCGGTAATCTTAATTTGAATCCAGCTTGCCAAACGTAAGTTTCAGTATAAAATAATTAGTGGTAAGACCTTGTGAGTGGCTTACGATGTTTTCATCACCACTCTTGACACACTAAACCACAATATTTAAGAGGTAAGAATTTTAAACTTGGTGGTTTAGACGACCCCCTAACTTTGGGCAGATTTTTTTAATGTTCAAATTTCGTCTTATAGGCCGTGATATACGGTAGGGGAAAATAATATAAGTGTCACAATAAATACTCTTTTACCTTACTCATTAATAAAGAAAAAACAGTTAATAAAGGAAAAACAATACAAATTACATCTTAAAAAAACTCTTACATTCATGACTGGCGACTTCTGCTTACCCAAGGTGGCGTAGGGGAGGGTTGAGGAGGGGGGCTACAGAGGCAGAGGTGAGAGTATGGGTGAGTCAGTGGTTGAGGGCAGGGGGGAGGAGGTGTGGTGAGGTGAGGTGAGGTATTGACCAGCCGGCGGAGAGATTACTGAGCCAGATGTAGTTATCAGTCATACAGTTTTTACCCTATAAAATGTCAAGGAATTGACTTGGGAGAATATAACTTACATTGCTGGAATCCTTGTAAGATCGTGATTAATGTGAATATAAACATGCTATAGTTTGCACTAGACATAAAAAAAATTAGTAATTATTTTGTACATTTGAGTACAGTACAGGTTTGCCCTTAGGACAATTATTTCTTTTACTTTTTTCACAAAATGTATTTAGGATAGTGTGTGCATGTAAATGAGTAAAAATAAATGAAGAAAGTTACATATATCTACCCAAAAATACGAATTGAATAACTTGTACTTAAATGTACTACACTATAGGACTAAAATTTTTATCTCTTGTGCAAAATATATGATGTCTATATTAAGGTAGCTCTTCCACCAGTAAGTCACCCAACACTTCAATAATATCATCTCCTAAAGTGATGTTTGCCAAGGCATTAACAGGCTGGGTCTTGCATAGGTACCAAGTCATAAGGGCCTGCTGACGAGCATTAATACGGGACATGTACAAGGCCTTATATTCCTTCATACCCTTATTAAGGACAGGGCACATAAGGTTTCGAGAATGAGGCCTGGTATCCTATTCTTGTAGCTGTTCACTGAGACGTGCGATGGTTGTAAGCAACTCAGTCAGCTGGAGTGTTGTAGGTTCACCAGACTTAATGTCATCCTCTTGTGTTGCTTGCTGTTCTTCTTGTTCTTCATCATCCTCCAACATTTCTTAAATTGCCAGTTGCTGCTGATGTTGACCAACTATTTCTTGCAAATCTTCAACCTGAACATCTGAAAATCCCAGTGCTGGGACTGATTGTGCTGCCTCGACCATGTCCATTAGTGTGCTGTAGGAGAGGCTCGCAAGCTAGCTACCATAGCGACCATCTGTTTACCGCGAAACATCAAAATCACGAATGGCAAGGGTTTACTGTCAAGGGACTGGGAAAAAGCATTGGTTAGTGAAACAACGGGTAATGAAGCAATTAATCCCATAAGAACATGAACAAATTCAGTGGGTTAAGGACTGGCCACCCTCCAAAAACTCCCATCTACCCTTGATATATTTCTGTACTGCACACTGTCAAGCAAGAAAATAAAGCAGACATATAAAGTAAGCATAATGAGCATTAAATATGAAATGTTAATAGGCAATGTAAAGCATAAATTTAGACTCTTATTTACTTGTGTTGAGGATGGTAGAAGTGGTATAGGGTAGCAAGTTCAAGTCTGTACCACTCTTTGTTGGACAATCACCACTCTTATTATGCCTTATCACATCACATCAAGTTGTCCAGCATGAGGGGAACTATCACTGGGGCATTTAGGCATGATTGAGTAACACACTAAGTCAGAAATAATGATGAAACACGAATTCAGAGACACATAGTAAGTGTAAACAAGAGCAAAGATGTAGGGAATGAACCAGGGCAATGTGCAGAGCCCTCTGGTGGCAAGAATTCGCATCATGCCACCACCTGCCAAATTCAAAACAGCTCTGCCGCTCATCTCCCGATCACCGGATCCCCAGGGTAACGAAACTTGCAGGGTACAGTATTATCCCGCCTAATGCGGTTTCACTTAACGCGTTTTTTCATATACGCGGTGCCTCGCCAAAGCTGAACTTTCACTTAACACGGATTTTTTCCACATATACGCGGTGAGTGTCCGGCTCCAGACGCTATTTTTAGATTTGCCCCACCCGCCACCCTGCCTGACTGCCTGTTTTAGCTCATAAAATTCATACAAATTACCCGGCCAGAATATAATTTACATTGCTGGAATTCTTATAATTTGGTGATCATTTTGAATATAAACATCATATATTTTGCATTAGACATACAAATTTTAGATAAAATTTTTTCTCTGAGTAAATATGTTATCTTTTGTGCAAAATATATGACATTTATATTCAAAATATTCCTGGTCTTACAAGGAATCCAGCAATGTCAATTATATTATCCTAACTTTAGTTTGAGGTATTATTTATTACAAAAAAGTTAAATATTCTGGTTTTCCCACACATCTCCTTGGGACGGTTGGTGGGGGGTGGGGGGGAGGGAGGGACCGACCGACCATCTGTTACCCTGTGAAGAATATTTTTTT